AAACATTGTTAAATCAATGGGGCCACAAAACCCGCGGTGCTACCCAATCAATCGTAGACCTGTGTCACTAGATAAGCATGACTATGGGCTGACATAGAACAAAACACAGTGACTGATTGTATGAAAGTGTATATCGCAACTATGAGACTTATAGTCTATCCAAGGACTCTATACCGCGGAGGTATTCACATCGCAACCACAATCGCGATGAGACGACTTTACAAAATATCCTCATAGTTTGACGCATTGTCTTCGAATTTGAGCAGAGCGTTGTTTCGCTCTTACTCTGTGAAGCGGCAGTCTTATACAACGTAGTACCTTAGTGAAGCTAATAGTATGGTAGCATCTACTTAATCCAAATAGTTATTAAGTTACTAACATCAAGCGTTGGTTATGTGAAAGTGATTTGGATCGGCGCCTCCCTCACTCCCAAACGGTGAAATAGCAGGAGGGAGAAATTAGATGCCGGCCAGCGTGTCTAATGATAAGAGCGAAAGGGCTATGCGCTGACGCATTCCAGCCAGCGTCGGAATCGTCATACCCTGTGAGTAGAGTATGACCCAGTCAAAGGGTTCATGATTTGTGGGTGCAGGCTTGGTATGTCTGGGAGGTAGTTTTTCACGCCACTACAAAACTATCGTTTGGAAACTGTTAACAGCAGCATTGATGCCTTTCCGAGAGCGGCACAGAAAAATCCTAGCAAAAAGAAATTGACAAGCGACATGTGGCCTGTTCACGAAAACAGTGGGGCCAAGTGACCAGAACTGAGATTGAAATGGTGTCCACCTGTGGGCGATCGCAAAAGAGGTGATGAAAGTGCAGCAACGCCAACGCACCGCACACACGATGTACGTGTCCACGTAGTGTACATGCACATGCAGGACGTGTTACGGTGCAAAATGAACGTTTACCAACACCACACGCCACTCCAGCCACATGTAACGTGCATACGCACGCACGCCACCATGTAACAGTGCGATACGCACCGCCACTCGAACGTGTAGTGGCGCACGCGGACTACAACAACCAGAGCACACACGGTGCCTACGTTGGCCTCGAACATAGCACGTAGGGCAGAGATACGTTTGCTCCGCACATCTAACGAGTGCAACAGGCGCACGCACGCTTACACACGCTTACGTGCTTCCCTGCTGCCCACGCAGCTCGTGACTGATTGATCACACTGCGCCAACGACCGCGCCTGACTCCCAGCACCATTGCACGCGCGTGTACGTGCCACACACGCACGTGTACGTGCACAACGCGTGTACGGCGACAAACGCACGCACGCACCCCACGGTGTACGTGCACACGCACGCACGCAAGCGTACGGGTACGCTGCAGATCAGCGTTTCCTCCCAGTATGTTCTTTGCACCCTCTTTACTTTTGCAACCAACTCTTGATTGATTTCAATTCCCATTACGGGTTTCTCCTTCGTATACGACAGCCATTGTTTTAGCAGTGATGACCAGACATGTGCCACGCCCGCCATCTAGTCCAGCGATTACGTAAAATGCCGGAACCCATTATGAAATGCACATGCTCTAATTGGAAAAAACAGCGCGCAGGTATACGGTGAGGTTACATGGACTCACGTAGTGTACTGTCAACGCTCTGTGTTCTTCAGACAGGGGCTTATGTGACACACGTTTACCACATAGCTTGACAAGGGGCCAAGGGGTTAGATGTACGCGAGCACTTTACCTCACTGAACAAACGGCAAACACGAAATTGTGGGGGCGTCCGTAAGCTTACGTGCCCGTGCGTCCGTCCGTTACGCGCTGTGCGCTCTGCAAAGTAGCGGTTGCTGCGTCGCGTGGGCGTTGCTGTGGTTCGTATTACCGCTTGGATCGCCCAATACTAGAAACGCCCCGCCCGGAACAATATTCCTGCTAGCGTGTGAAAATGAGGCAAATTCTCCTTTGCTGTGATATAGGGAACAGTGAACGAGTCACATTTTAGAAGGTATCTCTCTTTTTTTGTCGCATGTGTGCTCAAAGACAGGCCGACGTGCAGAAAATTTTATTAGGTTTGCGAAGCGATCATGGGGTTTCGGCGTGTGGTGGATGGTCTTACGTTATGTATATTATATTGTAAATATATTATGTAAATATATATGCGACATGCTTTATAGGCAAACAAAGACGATTCTTTTCTTCCGAAACGCCGATTTGAGAAAAATCGAAGTTAAAACAATGAAATTATCGTCTATATCGGTAATCGTTGCCTATCGATACGGCGAGATTTAAATATTGATTGAAACCATCGATGACTATAGCAGCTTATTAGTCCAGCACTGCAGATCACCCTGTGGCGCCATCTAGCGGCGTTAAATGATAGGTTACGATAAACTACATACGCCTACAGCATAGCGAACGCAGTCTGTGTTTCTGTACATACGAGTAAAACTTTATTTCGACAGCTCGTAACAAAACGCAATACATTGATATTTACAATCGATGTCGGACCATACGATATGAGTATACTAGTTTCCATGACAACGCAACAGACAATGACAGCCGGATACCATAACAACAGCAAGCGCCGGGCGCCTCCACCGCTGCAAACAACGCGTTTCCACGGCGACCGTTCATCAGAGCGCCGATTCATTAATTATCGAAAGAAATGTTTTCCCCAACATGCAGGACGCGATCGGAGACAGTGACCAGTGGTCAGTGAAGCCGTGAGGCGGTCACGTGATGGCAGGTCGCAAACATCTCGTCAGAGATGACGTCACGACACGATATGCTGACGTCATCATTACGTCACGTTAACACAACCCGCCTGGCGTGACAGACGAGGACGGCTGCAGCCAATCAGCGTCACGACAGACGCGCTCTAAAAGACAACGCTTGACCACGAAGTGCCGAAAAGTCGACAATTTGGCGCTAAAAAACTCGTATCAACTCGTGTAGCCTAACCAGTGTTACAGCGTAGCCTTCTGGTGTAAGAATATCAGAGGGAAAAGGGGGGTGCGGTTACCCCACTCAGATAGATAGGCCAAAGCAAGCCAAGTGCTTGAGCCGTCTAAGAACCAATTCTCAAAAGGGGTCTAAAAAAATGGAAAAAAACGTGGCACTCCAACTGCATACTCGGTCTGATGCATGATAGTATTAATACTTGATAGTACTAGTACTAGTAGTACTAGTAGTAATGCTGCCAGGGTCTATGTCTCCCTAGGTACTGCCGGACCGTACCTTGGGTACGGTCCGGTATACCAGAACGTACCATGGTACTATCTAATATGCCGGACCGTACCTCGCCTACTCCACTAACAAGTCTAGGGAGTCGCCTACGCCTACTCCCTAACCCTAACCATATCAGATAGTTACCAGGGTACGTTCCGGCAGTACCCAGGGAGACATAGACCCTATCAGCAGTAGTAATAGTACTTGTACTTGACACATGACAGTACTACACCTATTGTAACTTTTCCGGTATGATCTACTAAAGAAACCATTGTGGTGGTGTTCGGAAAATATATGAACCATACCCACTTTGTTTTATCACGATCGGTACCAACAAAAAATCGTCTCCGGCTTGGCGACTTCTCACAATTTCCGCAGGTACATCACACCCGAAAACATTCAACTGGTAGTACTATAAAGTTACCGCATCAAACCTAGTATGCAGGAGAGAGGGGCAGGACCATAGCCTCTGGGGGCGGGGGGCAAGAACGCAGCTGCCACCCCCTTAGATTTTGGAGCAAAATGAAGAAATAGGCACCGCCGCGTTTCACATTTCTTCATGGCTCTGGTTCGCTAACTAGAGACAACAGGAGGGCTGAGCATGAATGGATAACATCTATCAATCATTACTGTAGACACTGGCGCTTGTAGTGAATACTAACCCTACTTCATTTTCGTAAATGTGTGGGTAGGTAGGCCCTTTAAAATCGACAGAGGTCTTCTTCAGGGTGTTGCCTAACGTTTTCCGCCACCATGCCTAGTAAAATCTAAGCGTCTGTCATGCATGCTACGCCACGTAGCAGCCGAAGCGACCCTCACTGTAGACGTTCCCAGTAAAATCCAAGTCAATGGAAATGTCACCTCTGCTATATGACAGCGGAAGCAAGCGACACTCTAAACCCAGCAACCCAGAGAACTCCAACAAGATCTCTCGTTAGAAGTATATAAAAAACAACCGTATCAAAAACCAGGTTCTGCACTCGCGCAACCGACGGACCTTCTCGAAGCGGCGTCTGTCTCTCTCGCATGCGCGTGCGCCCGAACAACCATGAACCGCGCGTAAACTCCGCGAATCCAGTAAAATATATATTTTAGTCGCGATCTCGCGAATTTTTTCGCCCGCCGCTTAATCATAAGATGTCGTGGAAGACGAGACGTTCCGTTGTCGGACTGTGCGTGCGTGCGTGCGTGCGTGCGTGCGTGCGTGCGTGCGTGTAGGCGTATGCGTGTGCGTATATATATACAGAATTTCCTTTAAAATGGTCTCACAAATCCTATCCAAATCCAAATTTCAATCGAATATCAAACGAACAAAACAGCAAGTTTTAATGAACCTCTGAAGTATACAAAGTGTATTACTATGAACTTCATTAAAATATGTATAACTGTAATGGATAGTGAGATTTGTGCGAGAATTGACATTACAGACACGGATGTTGTTTACTTACAACTAAATTTATTCTTAATGCACAGCACTGGTAAATAGTGCTCTATTTTCACGCGTTGCTCACCTGGTAACGGTTGCCTTCAAACTGTAATTACCTGCGACGTTCGACAAGAATACTATACGATTCGAATATTTTGAGTATTAGATCTACCCCGTTTTCCTCTGATGCCCATATATATATATATATATATATATATATATA